TAAATTTAATATTTTCTAAATTTCTTGGAATGAAATCTCTAAAAGAGTTAAAATATTGTCATTATTTAAAAAAAGTAAAAAATTTACACTTTTGAATAAGAGTGGCAGATTTTCATTCTTTCTTTTTTGGAATAAGATTTCACACTTTTGGAATAGAATTTATTTCAAAAAGAAGTGAAATACCTGTCCTTTGGAATGAATGTCACTCTAAAAAAAAAAGAAAACTCTTATTTAAGAGTGCAAATTTTTCACTCTTTTTCAATAGTGATAATGTTTTAACTCTTTTAAAGTGAGATTTTACTCCAAGAGAGAGAGAGAGAGAGAGAGAGAGAGAGACAGAGAGAGAGACAGAGAGAGAGAGAGAGAGAGAGAGAGAGAGAGAGAGAGAGAGAGAGAGAGAGAAAGTAATGTAATATTTTAAAATATGGATCACACAATACGCAGCAGTATAAGAATAATGAAGAACAATATCATATTTTTTTATTTATGGTCTATGAATCACAACAAAAGATTCAAATGTGATATTATATTAATATTTTTAAAAGCTTTTATTCAGTTTGATTATTTTTATTCATTTTATTCATTTTACATGATATCAGGGTAGTCACTGACACAAGGTAATTTCTTGTCATATGCCATAACCAGAAATATTTTTAGTTAAATGGTGTGTAACGCTTGTGAATTATATATACGCTTTTTTTACATCTACAATATATCTATATATGTTGCACGCAATCGCTGGCAGGTTGGAACATTTTTAACCGCTCTTTCATAGGTTGTGTGGCTATTTGCAATATTTTATGCTCTGTATTCATTTAACTTGCATGTATGATAAAATCATTTGTTAATGTATAACGATTTAAATGTAATGATATAATTGATTTGGCTTGCGTCCGTAGCGACAAGCGCGCAAGAAAAAAATTCGTAAGCGAAAGAAACATTTCATCGATAATTATAATAATTCTATCTTAAAAAGAGAGAACACCATTAGACACAAATTACATTTTTTTCGTACTTTTAGGATTGCATCGTTTCCATTTTACTTTATTTGAAAAACAAAGTGCTTTAATTTCCATGTCTGACTAGGAAGACTATAAATCTTTTGCACGTTTATTTATGAAATGCATAAATGCGACAATGGAGTACCTTTATTTACAAACGGTGAATTATATATCGAATAATACTTTGTTGTTGCCCCGTGATATGGAATAGAATATAAGATACATTCGAATCAACTCATTACGCGCATCGTACTGAGTTTATTTGCTTTAAAAATAATGTAGAAGGAATTTCATTATAAATATCTTTCCCGGAGATTTCATGATGAGATTTCGCTTCAGTAATTCTGACTATATGAGCCAAACGCATGAATTTAGCACTATGAGATGTTGATGTCCGGCATCGTCGTCTAATGACATTTCTCACGACTAGAGAGGCGCATAGGTGTCTAATGAAAGCTATTGACAGCCTATAATCGTCGCGTAATGGGTCCATCGCCACTGACACGTTAACAACCTCTGGCAAATTGAGCTCGTTAGTACAATGCAACCACGGGCATTATGCAAGTTGGCCAATATAAAGCCGCGCATATACATCGCCGACCCGTCTCAATTTCAGATCACGTACCGTGCGCCAAGTGGAACGACAACGATACGGTTTATCGACAACGTGACTAAGTCGTTTCTTTCGAAATCCATATATTGAGAACATATATCATAAGATGAATCACACCCTTTGCCCCCCCGACGATCGATACCGCAAATTGAACTCAAGATTCCAGAGTATTGACTAGGTACAACTTGCAGCGTTTACACCGGATATCGATTTTCTGCCATCTGTCTTTGCCAGAAACTTCAATGTGAATCTCTTGTAAAAGGAATGGAAATAGTTATCAGAGATTTTATGTTATCGTCAAAGACCTGTATTATCAAACCACCTGCGCTGGTTCAAAATTCCTATCAGATTGCGATAACCGACACGGATACAGAACGGATAAATTATTACTGCCACGCACCGACGTGACGGGATTTACTATGTCGCTTGCGTTTATATACTACATGGATGTCGTGTGTTCGTTAGCCCGAGGCGATCACAATCCATTTTTAACGTTCATCCCATCACTCTACTCTTTATACTCTCGTTCGATATTCTAATAATTTCACACATTTGTCGGTCTTTAAACTGTGATCGGCAGGAAATTTTTTGATAGAGCGAATAAATTACCAGGAGTGTCTGCGGAATATTAAATGACTTATGCTTGTGACATGATCCATCCTTTGTATATGCATGCACAATATTTGTATGTTAATGAAACATCTGTTGAGACTAAAGATAAACGATGCATATTTTACTCGTGTTTTACAGATGTCGAGGAATTATTGGGCAAACCTGTGCAAGCCGAATTCTCTACCGAGACTGGACTTGACGTAGCATTGGATGCGCTCGTTGATCTGGGAAATGGTAAAAACTATAATAAAAATGTTTTTTTATAGAAAAAGCTACCAAGGTTTGATATAATGTCAAAATTGTAACGTCAAACGCAGTTTCTTTAGTTAATTTCTCTCTAATTTCTAGATATAACTTCTGTAATTAATCTTTAGAGAGAACACGAGTCTATCTTTAAAATAAAATCTTACATTTTTCCTTGAGTAAGATTGTTATATATAATTCATTATTTCATTTTTTGTCTAAAAATACGACACTATTTTATCGCTACTATATCTAGTAACCATGCAATACGTTTAAAATGCATGTTATAAAGACATCATGAAGACATCATTTGAGATATACATGTCTAAAAAATATTATAAAGAGATCTTTTAGATAATGTTTGTTGTCTGAATAATGGCTTTCCTATCTTATAAAGTTAATTGCATAATAATTTTTAAAAGGAATGCATTTTTCATAAAATTTATCTAGTTTACAATAATCTATTGGATATATAGCCGCGAAAAATTATAGAATTTCTTATTTTGCAGCTGAAAGTTTGAGTCTACATAAATAGACAGATATTTTTTAAATTTATTACCAAATTCCACAACATGAGAAATTAGCGCCCTTTGTGTTTCCGGCTGCTATATTCGGTCCAGATATCGCCGAAAATATTCTATATCAATATTTGTTAAAATGACAAGGCTGCGCTCTGAAATGTTTGCATATTTGTAATATCTACACAACGTACACGTCCTACGTATAACATTCATACGTCAAATTATACGTATTCTGTGTGGAAGAGCGACTGCGTCATTCATTCATTGCTTCACGAACTGCATGCGCGGTCATAATAAATTTGACGACTTCCGTGATTTCATCGGATTCTGTAGTGCATCATGTAATCATTCATACATTCATCGCACCATTCACTCAAGATTACATGTTTTGATAGAGTATAGGCGCATATTAAGTCACCTTTATCAAAATTTTATTAATTTGAAATCGATGACTTTTGTAGGAATGAAAGAGATGTTATCCAATTTTAATCATTTCCAATCTAACGAAACAATCTTTCTTTACATTAAGTTCATTTGCGCTATGTTTGTGCATATATTTAATTCAATATTGCATGTCTGATACGATTCAGTTAATCCAATGTTTAATTAAGACGTTTGTGCAACATATACGTAAATGTAACGCTACTTTTGGAACCGCCAATTTACTAAACGTTACGGTTGGTTCAAATTGTTTCTGGTAACGTTATTCGATCTTCAAATGAATTCGTTGCCATTAAGTGACCTTCTCAGCCTGGAGTGTCACTTAGTCACGGTACTAAGTTACTAACAGTGCACTAACTAAATTAGCAGGTACTATCGCAACTACGGGCCTCTCACTCTTGCTATCTCCTTTCGAGCAACTCCTTGCCTAATCACTACACATGTATCATATTTACACATGATACTTAGTGCTTTGTACCGGGTGTTCTGAAATAAAATCTTAATATGCAGTTTATTTGCAGGAACTGTTAATGAAAGTCACGGGAGAGTAAACTATTTTTCAGAATAAATGAATTGAACACGTTTTCTTCTGCGAAAGACTTATTTCAATCAACAGAGTATGTATGTTCTTAACAGCTTATCCAAGCTGTTAAGAAGTACAAAAGTTAGCTTAATATAGTTGGATATCTGGAAATGTATATGAATCTTTATGAAATAAAAGTTGAAGTAAATAATAGACTGCCAATATTAAACCAACGTAAATAAGAAAAGCAAAGTCACACACACCCGCGCTAAAAAGTTTTAATTAGACAAAATTTGAATTGTGTGCACAAGTAAAGTTTATTCTGATTGCAGTTTGAATTATATGATTATTATTAAATGTTATATTTATTTCCCATGAAAAGAATGATTTCACTGAAGTATAATATATAAAAATTTAGCTGAATTCATGTTGGGAAATAATTTTGTTGGATCATACTATAGTATACGTAACTGTGGTATTTCCCTAGTTTTATGTATGCAGTACTTTTCAAGAATAGGGATCAATTTAGCCGTCCTATACAATTATCTTAATGATCTAACAAAATTATCTTCAGAGTTGAATCTATTGTGTTTAATTAAATTTTTAGATTTTTTTTTGTATAAATGTATTATTAATTAATGCCGATATATTTATATGGTACAATACATATAGTTGGTCAACAATTTTTTATTATTACGATTTCTTTAACTTTTTTTCTTTGCACAATATTGTGATGATATTTTATGATAAAATATCATTGCAATATTGCACAAAGAAGAAAAAGCTGAAATCAGTACTGATTTGTAGCACACGCCGTATACTTTGTCTAAAGATGTGCCACGGGGCACGACTCGAGGATTGCTTTCCTTGACAGTGTGCGTTCGTAGCGAATTAATTCAAGTAACGAAAACCTGTTATAGTGGCAAGTGCTCGGAGACGTGATATCGCTATCGTGTATTTCTCATCAGTGCAGACAAAGTCTAATACGTAAATGGCAAATAGCGGCCTCTTATAAATTGCTTCGTTATATTGCACGTTATTACTTTCGGTTGTCGACTAATAGTTTGATAGCTTACTCAAGCACCAGTATGTCGAAAGTTTGTCTTAAGATTATTAAGTTCATCGATCTGAGTTATTATCAGACGTAGACGAAGATAAATGTAGATAGTTATTAAATGTAGATAGTTATTAAATTACGAGAGATTTACATTAGCGGTCTATAGTTGGTTTGCACCTTTCAGAATCATATCCAAAGTTTTCCAACATCTTGTTAAGAAATAAATATTTTGCAATCAATAAGTGTCAGTGCTAGTGATACTCAATTCCATAATAAATACATGCAATCCAAGTGAGTTCAATTTTCATATAATAAACTTAGATGATTTCTGCATTAGTTTCTAAAGGTAGATCGAAAGTAAGAACAGTGAATACGGATTATATTATATATATA